TAGATCTATAACACAAAATGAAATTGAAGCAGCAATCAAGAGTTTCCCAAAAAAGAAAAGTCCAGGATCTGATGGATTCTCTGCTGAATTCTATCAGACCTTTAAAGAAGAACTGATACCAACCCTCTTTAAACTGTTCCAGGAAAAAGAAAGGGAAGGAAAACTGCCTAACACATTTTATGAAGCCAGTATTACACTTATCCCAAAACCAGGCAAAGACACCTCCAAAAAGGAGAACTATAGGCCAATCTCCTTAAGAACATTGATGCAAAAATCCTCAAAAAATAATGGCAAACCGAATTCAACAACACATCAAAAAGATTCACCATGACCAAGTAGGCTTCATCCCAGGGAATGCAGGGGTGGTTCAACATACAAAATCAATAAATGTAATAAACACATTAACAGAAGCAAAGACAAAAACCACTTGATCATCTCAATAGATGCAGAAAAAGCCTTTGATAAGATCCAACATCCATTTCATGATAAAAGCTCTAAGAAAACTAGGAATAGAAGGAAAGTACCTCAACATTATAAAAGCTATATATGACAAACCTACAGCCAGCATTATACTTAACAGAGAAAAACTGAAACCATTCCCTCTAAAATCAGGAACTAGACAAGGATGCCCACTATCTCCACTCCTATTCAACATAGTACTGGAATTCCTAGCCAGAGCAATTAGGCAAGAAGAAGGAATAAAAGGAATACAAATAGGTAAAGAAACTGTCAAAATATCCCTATTTGCAGATGACATGATCCTATACCTTAAAGACCCAAAAAACTCTACTCAGAAGCTTCTAGACATCATCAATAGCTATAGCAAGGTAGCAGGATATAAAATCAACATAGAAAAATCATTAGCATTTCTATACACTAAAATGAGCAAACTGAAAAAGAATATATGAAAACAATTCCATTTACAAGCCTCAAAAAAAAATCAAATACCTAGGTGTAAACCTAACAAAAGATGTGAAGACCTCTACAAGGAAAACTATAACTTCTGAAGAAAGAGATTGAGGAAGACTATAGAAAGTGGAGAGATCTCCCATGCTCATGGATTGGTAGAATAACATAGTAAAAATGTCATACTCCCAAAAGTAATGTACATGTTTAATGCAATTCCCATCAAAATTCCAATGACATTCATTAAAGAATTGAAAAATCTACCGTTAAATTTATATGGAAACACAGAGGCCACGAATAGCCAAGGCAATACTCAGTCAAAAGAACAATGCTGGAGGTATCACAATACCTGACTTCAAACTATATTACAAAGCAATAACAATAAAAACAGCATGGTACTGGCACAAAAACAGACATGAAGACCAGTGGAACAGAATAGAGGTCCAGATATGAAGCCACACAACTATAAGCAACTTATCTTTGACAAAGGAGCTAAAAATATACGATGGAGAAATAGCAGCCTCTTCAACAAAAACTGCTGGGAAAACTGGTTAGCAGTCTGCAAAAAACTGAAACTAGATCCATGTATATCACCCTATACAAGATTAACTCAAAATGGATCAAGGATCTTAATATCAGACCCAAACTCTTAAGTTGATACAGAAAGAGTAGGAAATACTCTGGAGTTAGTAGGTATAGGTAAGAACTTTCTCAATGAACCCCAGCAGCACAGCAACTAAGAGATAGCATAGATAAATGGGACCTCATAAAACTAAAAAGCTTCTGTTCATCAAAAGAAATGGTCTCTAAACTGAAGAGAACACCCACAGAGTGGGAGAAAATATTTGCCAATATACATCAGACAAAGGACTGATAACCAGAATATACAGGGAACTTAAAAAACTAAATTCTCCCAAAACTAATGAACCAATAAAGAAATGGGCAAGTGAACTAAACAGAACTTTCTCAAAAGAAGAAATTCAAATGGCCAAAAACACATGAAAAAATGCTCACCATCTCTAGCAATAAAGGAAATGCAAATTAAAAACCACACTAAGATTCCACCTCACCCCTGTTAGAATAGCCATCATCAGCAACACCACCAACAACAGGTGTTGGCGAGGATGCGGGGAAAAAGGAACCCTCTTACACTGTTGGTGGGAATGTAGCTAGTACAACCACTCTGGAAAAAAATTTGGAGGCTACTTAAAAAGCTGACATCGATCTACCATTTGATCCAGCAATACCACTCTTGGGGATATACCCAAAAGACTGTTACTCCAGAGGCACCTGCACATCCATGTTTATTGCGGCACTATTCACAATAGCCAAGTTATGGAAACAGCCAAGATGCCCCAACTGACGAATGGATTAAGAAAATGTGGTATCTATACACAATGGAATTTTATGCAGCCATGAAGAAGAACGAAATGTTATCATTCGCTGGTAAATGGATGGAATTGGAGAACATCATTCTGAGTGAGGTTAGCCTGGCCAAAAACCAAAAATCGTATGTTCTCCCTCATATGTGGACATTAGATCAAGGGCAAACACAACAAGGGGATTGGACTATGAGCACATGATAAAAGCGAGAGCACACAAGGGAGGGGTGAGGATAGGTAAGACACCTAAAAAACTAGATAGCATTTGTTGCCCTTAACGCAGAGAAACTAAAGCAGATACCTTAAAAGCAACTGAGGCCAATAGGAAAAGGGGAACAGGAACTAGAGAAAAGGTTAGATCAAAAAGAATTAACCTAGAAGGTAACACCCACGCACAGGAAATCAATGTGAGTCAATGCCCTGTATAGCTATCCTTATCTCAACCAGCAAAAACCCTTGTTCCTTCCTATTATTGTTTATACTCTGTCTACAACAAAATTAGAAATAAGGGCAAAATAGTTTCTGCTGGGTATTGAGGTGGGGGGGAGAGGGAGGGGGTGGAGTGGGTGGTAAGGGAGGGGGTGGGGGCAGGGGGGAGAAATGACCCAAGCCTTGTATCCACATATGAATAATAAAAGAAAAATGAAATAAAATAAAATAAAATAAAATACTCCAGCCAAAGGAAACAAAGAGGAGGACATACGTGCAATGAGGATGAAGCATACACAGTAAAATACTGATGGTTACTAAGGTTTAGTGAAGAGGGTATATGAAGTCTCTCATATTTCCTACTTTTGTATACGGTTGAAAACATTTGCAATAAACCTTTTAAAAATAGGATCATTGGGAGACATTTATAATCTTAACATTGTACTTATGGAATGTCTTTGCCTGGCCATGATTCTTTAGGGATCACTGAGAGAAGTTTAGTAACCTCATCCTCAAGTTTTCTAAGTGCTCTGAAGTGCCATTTCCCTAAGCCAGGAGACAAATTCATTTAGGATGAGAAAGTATTTTATAAGACATCTTTTCATTTAGAGCTTGGACTCTAAATTATTTTATTTTTTTAGTGACACTGGATTCTAAATTATTTTATTTTTTTGAGTGAAACTCAGGGCCTCATGCTTGCTAAGCAGTCACACCACCACTTCAGCTACTGCGCCAGCTCTAAATTCTTTATACAATATTTTATATCGCATATCCAGATGACTCTCTTTGATAGATGAATATCAATTTCTTTCTGCCTTACATTCTTATTATTAGACTTGGGTTAATATAGCATGTACTAGCATACTCCGAAATAACATTACTGTTTGGTACATAAATGTACCAAGTAAGTTATGCCCTAACTTCCTAAGAACTTCATAGGGGTAATTCAGTAAATATTCTGAACTTTACCAAGGGCTAAATCTGCAGCAACATGCCATATTCAGTGAAAATGAGTCTAGTGCAGTTGTTCCAGTTAGGGCTGCTTGTGGTCTGCCCTGTCCTCCGGAGCTGTACAATTCCTGCTCCCTTTACATCTGAGTGGTTCTCAAATCTTCAGGATAAACTAATGGTAAAAGCATGTGATTTAAAATCAGATCTGGACTGGAAATGTGGTTGTCACTTGTTAGCTGAATAACCTTGAGCAATCTCCCTACTCTAAGTTTCAATTTCCTCATCTATATAATGGTAAGAATAATACCTAGTCCTCATAGTAATTACTGGAACTACTTCCATGTTGAATACTACAACATGGCACAGAGCAAGCACTCACTAAGTAGAATCTATAAAACAGGATGTAAAGGAATGGGCTAAAAAACAAGAATAATTCTGTTCTGAGATGGTGGAATAAAAAGATGGGGGGTGGAGGGAACAAGATACTTTGCACTTAGATCTGCAGTCCTTTTTTGTTTTGCTTTTTGGGTTTTTTTCTTTTTTTTGGTGGGACTGGGGTATGAACTCAGGGCTTATGCTTGCAAAGAAGGCACTGTACCCTTGAGCCACACCTCCAGTCCATTTTGCTCTGGTTATGTTGGAGATGGGTGCTCTCATGACCTACTTGCCTGGGCTGGTCTGGGACCATGATCCTTTTGATCTCACCATCCCAAGTAGCTAGGATTACAGAAGTGAGCCACTGGCACCTAGCTAAGATCTCCAATCTTTAGGATTTAGAGTAGCCTTAAGATGCCCAAGAAACTTTTGTAAATGAATAGACATAAAAAATAATAATCAGGGATTCTGTTATCTAACATGACTTCAGTTTTTTGATCCCTCTATGGCCATATAAGCATACAGTAATGTGAGGCTAATGAAAGAATTCTTATACATAGTATATGAGTTCTCAAAACCTGTGCGTGCATGTGTGTGCACGCGTGTGTGTATGTGTAATGAGGGGGCTTCGTATTACGTAAACAGAAAAAGGCAGCTAGGAATAGGGCTGACTGGGAAGCACGAGCAATATTATAATAGAGAGATGGCAGAAAATGTTGAGGAAAGAGAGGCTGTAAATGGAAACATAACACTTAGAAATATAAAATGTAAAGAAAGGATTTTGCTTTGTCCTAACTAATCTTAGAGACATAGATTTGAAAGGCTGGTCTCAAACATGGCAAACACCTGTTCTGTGATTCCAAAGGAAATTGATCATATCTCCAATGAGGCTAATACTATGTACTTTTAACAAGTATTTTAAACTCAAACCTACTTTGAAGGAAGCCAAGCACCTACCCTTTGAGGAGCATAAACAGGATGTGAGGATGAGCACTAATGTACTCCACAGTAGGACTCCGAGTGCCTATCTGTCTTCTCAGAATGTTGTTAAATATCTGGGTCACATCTTTTTTTCCCTGTTAAAGAAACAAACCATCATTAAATTATATACTATAGATGGATGAACTGTATGCAATGTGAAATGCGCAACACACACACACACACACAACACACACACACACACACAAGAGATAGTGCCATCCTTTATATTAATTTACTATTTTCATATCTTTAACAAGTTATACTTACAAACACAAAGTCCTAAAATAGAAGCAAATATGATAGAGCTAATTTCTTTATGTGTTTTTACCTTTTAGCTTTATTCAAGAAGAAAATTATGGTTGACACTTTAAAATCTTCATATAAAGGAGGGAAATAGATGAAGAAAATAAAATTTTAGTAAAATGTAGGTTAGAAACAAGTATCTTTTTCTTAGATCTACTTTTTGTAAATTTACCCCTTCAACTTTATTTACTTCTGTTTCACTTTGCTGCCTAAATTTTAAAAGTGAGATGTAAATTTTAAGTGTAAGTGAATATGTGTATATATATACCCATAGGTGGATATATTTTACTCAGATGATCATAAGAACTCATATCAATCCTAGAGGAAGAGAAGGAACCATTCAGTCATAATTGTCTGAGTTAAAAGAATGACAGCCAATCTCAGATGGGGCTTCTTAGAATTCTCATGGGTGGGACTTCTCTCTCATACACTTTACAACCTGAGACTAGCCTGCTTCTCCAAAAGAAGTTCTGGACTAAACCTGAGTTTATTATATGGAAAAGAAGGATGAGAATGACATTGCTTTGTCAATCAGTATGGCCCTGGTTCTGGCCTTGTCCTTCAGCTGAAGTATAAAGGAGCTTCTTCCAGTTACTCTCTCCACTTCAAAGCACAATAACTCTACAGTCAGCCATCAGGAAACACAAATGCAGTCTTGCCATTTTCTTCCCTTATTCTTCAAGATCTTCCTTTGCTTAAGGAAGAAAGTGGCAAATGGCCCTTCCATGACCTGGCCCTTCTCTTTCTGCACACTCTGTTCTTTTTTAGAGAGTCAACAGACATTCCTCCTCTGGGATAAGTACTCCTGTGTGTAGTGTAATAGCCTTTCCTTACATTGACCAGTACCTCGCCTCTCCCCACTACCTCCACCTGCACCTCTACACTGTCAGAGTAGCAGACCTTTAGTCAGTGCCTAGTGTGTGCCAGGCACTTTACACTAAGAAAGCTTACATGTAAGTTTCAATTCTTTCACAACTTTATGATGTTACAGATTAATGAATAAGGAAACTGAGGAAAATGAGGTTGCCTTACTGGATGAAGCCATGGAAGCCATGACTCCAGCCTAAGCTGAATCGGAATCCAGAGTGTTAATTCTGGAGCCATTAACTAAAGCACACAGTGCCCTTGAAATGACAATGGGTTTTTTTGGCCTCTAACCTTCCTCCATTGGGCTATGAGTTCTCATATTTTCAAAGCCCACTGATGGTCCAGAATATAATACACATGCAATAAACATCTATTAAGACCTGATTTTAGAGCAACGAACATGTATATATCCTTATCACAAAATGTGGGCTTATTTGACCCTCTATCTTTTAAAATTTGGCCACTTTTAATGCTAAAGAGCCACTCAAAAGACTAGAACCTCAAATGAAGAGTAATAAATTATTCAATCAAAAAAGCTATTAGTTATATATAAAGACTAAATACTGATGAAAATAATAACCAAATAAGCCAAGGTGCTAAGTAGTTCCAATGCCTGTAATCCTATGCTACTTCGGAGGCAGAGATCAGGATAATCTGGGTTTGAACGCCAAACTGGGCAATAGTTCTGGAAACCCTATTCTGAAAAACCCATCACAAAAAAGGAAGTGGTAGATGGTTAAAGTGGTAGAGTACCTGCCAGCAAGCATGAGGCTCGAAGTTTAAACAACCACAGTACTGCCCTCCCAAAAGAATAATAATTAAATAGAAAAATTCTAAGAGGATATCATCCAGCATATTAAAAATTAGTTAAGGGATGGGGGTGGGTGACTTAGTGGTAGAACACTTGCCTAGCCATGTGTTGATATCTCGGGGTTTAATTCCCTAAGCACAGAAAAAACAAAGTTCAAGAATAGATTTTTGGACTTTCCAACATCTAAAACCAGAATCTTTTTTTAGACCTAAGGAGAATATCTTTAGGGTTTAGAGCTGGACAATACATTTTTAGCCATAACACTAAAAATATAATCTGTAAAATGAAAAAGTGATAAACTGGATTTCATCAAAATTCAATCTTCTGCTCTGCAAAAGATTCTGTTAATAATATGAAGACAAAGGCTAAATAGAAATAGAGAAAAATATACCACATTACAATATTTGACAAAAAGGCCAATCAATATTTGGAATATATAAAGAACCCTGAATAGCATATATAAAGAAACTGAATAGCATAAAAAACGCAATTTAATTAGAAAATGGGTGGAACACATGAGAAGACATTTAAGCAAAAAGGCGAGCAGATAACAACAAGCACATAAAAGATGTTCAATATTACTATCCTTTAGGAAATGCAGACCAAAACCATGATGAGGTATTAGTACAGTATCAAAATGGCTAAAAAAAAAACCACTGACAACATAAAATGCTGGCAAGAATGAAGAAAAATCAGGTAAGCCATGGTGGCTCATGCCTATAATCCCAGCTACTCAGGAGGCAGAGATCAGGTGGATCACAGGTTGAGGTCAGCCTGGGCAAAAAGTTAGTAAGATTCCATCTCAAAAAATAAGCTGGGCATGATGACACATCTATAGTCCACACTAAGCAGGAGGCGTAGGTAGGAGGATCATGGTACAAGAGTAGCCCTGGGCAAAACCACTTTGAGACTGTACTCAGAAACAAAACCACTAAAGGAAAAGAGGACTGGGATTATGGCTCCAGTGGTGGAGCACCTGCGTAACAAGTACAAGGAGGCCATGAGTTCAATCTCCTAGTACTGCCATAATTAAACAAGCAAGCAAGCAAACAAATATCAATTGATACACTGCCGTGGAAATGTAAAATAGTACCAATCTAGAATATACTTGGGTAGTTTCTTTAAAAACTAAACATGAAATTACTGTATCAGTGCAAGAACTTGGCACTTATCATAAAAAAATGAAAACTAATGCTCCTGTGAAAACCTGGCCATGAATGTTCATAGAGCCAGAAAGCTGGAACAATCCAGAAATTCTCCAACAGGTAAGCGGTTAAACAAACTGTGGTACATCCAAAGCAAAGACTACTAGTCAGCAACAAAAACAAATTATTGGCAGATACAGGAACAACTCGGGTGAATCTTGAGGAGGTATGCCGAGGGGAAAAAGTCAATTCCAAAAGATGACACAGTGGATGGCTGCATTTACACAACATTCTTGAAAAGACAAAATTATAGAAATGGAAAACAGTTTAGTGGCTTGTACAAGTTGGGGATGCGGGAGTAATGGGTAACAGAGGTGAGTGTGGCTAAAAATGACAATAGGAGAGATCCTTGTGGAGATGGAAATTTTGTAGATTTTGTCTTTAGCCATGTCAATAGCCTAGTTGTGTTGCTGTCATGTAGTTTTGCAAGATACTACCATAGGGAAAACTAGGTAAAGTACATGGGATTTCCTTGAATTATTTCTTACAACTGATGCCAATGAACATCTATTTCAAAATTAAAAAGTTAATTTCTTTCTTTTTTATCTTTTTGCAGGACTGGGGTTTGAACTTAGGGCTTCATGTTGCAAAGCAGGTGCCTACTGCTAAAGTCCCACTCCCAATCATTTTTGCGCTCTGGTTACTTTTTTTGGAGATGGGGTCTCATGAACTCTTGCCTGGGCTTGGCCTTTAATGGTGATATTCCAATCTTAGTCCCCTCTCAATGTAGGTTAGGATTAAGAAGTGTGGGGACCATGGGGTGCTGACAAGTTAATTTTCTTAAAAAGACATTTTTCTTCATCCAGTTTTTAAATAATAAAATTCAGTGTCAGTTTTCATACATGTTGATGAGGATATAAGGCATTCTGATCAACTGGTATCCAAGAGTCCCACTTTGGGGAACCTAGCCTGAAAAAATAATTCTAAGTAACAATCCTAAATACAAAAAAAGTTCCAGACACAAAGAACTCTATCACAGCTGTGATAATAAAGAATTAGAAGTATGTCCAGGTCAGGTTACAAATTATGATATATCTAACTGGTAGAAATAAGAAATTGGAACATCAAAATGTTTGCAATGATTAAATATAAGAAATATTGACAGCTACCCATTGCTTTCACTTTATTTCATGGAAAGAAATATAGAGAGAGCTAGAAATAAAGGAGGAAGAGAAAGGGAACCAGAGAAAGAAAGAAGGATTTAGGGAGAGAGGAGACAGAAACAAAGAACAGGTAATAGAAAAGCAAACTATTTTTTCCTTTAAGATAAAACACTATACCAAAATCAAAATATTAATAGAAAAATGGGAGGGAATCCTCAATTTAAGAAGATACTTTGGGGGCTGGGGATGTAGCTCAGTGGTGGAGCACTTGCCTGGTAGGCATGAGGCCCCGGTTCAAACCCCAGTACTGCAAATAAAACCAAAATCAAACAAACAAAACAAGCAAAATACCAGCTGGGAGCAGGTGGCTCACAGCTATAATCCTGGCTACTTGGGAGGCTGATTTAGGGAGGATCACAGTTTGAGGCCAGCCTAGGCAAACAGTTTGCAAGAACCCATCTCCAAAGTAACCAGTACAAAGTGGACTAGAAGTGTGGCTCAAGTGCTAGAGCAAGTAGAGGTGTGAATCTCTGAGTTTAAATGCTAGTTCTACCAGGGGAAAACAAGGTAAAACCTCTCCAAAATTCAGAATCAGTTTCTCTCAAATAAAATCCTAAAAAATATTCATACAAAACAAATGACAAAAATTCCCCAAGCTGCAGAATCAGTTTCTCTCATAATTTTAAGATCCTAAAAAAGTTTACACTACATGGATGTTCTAATACAGACATTAGAGTGCATGTGGTAAATGTAAAAAGAATTGTAAATGAAAGCAATCATCTGTTGTGTTCAAATCTTTCTAGATT